ACTGATGGTAAGGTGGAACCTATAGACGGCGATCTATCCAAATCGATGCTGGAAAACACTAAATGCTACCTCTTGGACTGTGGTGCTGAGGTATTTATCTGGGTTGGCCGAGTAACTCAAGTGGATGAAAGGAAAGCTGCTAGTCAATTTGCTGAGGTAAAGAGTGGAAGTCTATTAACAACATTTCTCCGGCCTTTAGTATATCTACCTCAATAATGGCTTCTCGCTTTTTACCTTTCATCTCCAGGAATTTCTTGCTAGTGAAAATAGGCCAAAGGCAACACGCGTTACCCGTGTTATCCAAGGTTATGAGTCCCATTCTTTCAAGTCTAACTTTGACTCTTGGCCATCAGGCTCGGCCACTACTGGTAACGAGGAAGGACGAGGAAAAGTTGCCGGTAAAACACCACTGTGAAACTTATATCACTAGATAAAAAAATTAACAGTTTCTTTGTCCCTGACTTGCCATTGACGCTGCATCATTCTCTAGCTTTACTGAAGCAACAAGGTGTTGGGCTCAAGGGCATTGCAAAAAGTGCACCAGTGATTGAGGATATTCCACCTCTTCTTGAAGGTGGTGGAAAGTTGGAGGTCTGTTTGACTACTTGACTTGTTATCTCTTTACTCTTCACATTTGGCTATGGATATATCCATTTTGATATTTCATTGTCTATGGATTAGGTTTGGTACGTTAATGGTAAAGCCAAGACTCCATTACCTAAAGAAGATGTTGGCAAGCTCTATTCTGGGGACTGCTATTTGGTTCTTTATACCTATCATTCTGGTGATAGAAAAGACGAATTTTTCTTGTGTTGTTGGTTTGGAAAGAATAGCATTCAGGTAATGGTAATCTTAATCATAACAAGATATGATTCCTTAGTATACATATCGTATAATATATTGGCTATCTTAATTTCTCCGTGATCTTGCCTTGTACTGAATTCTATGGCTAAGCTTGAAATTGGTTGTGATTGTAGAACTTTGTATCTTCCATATGAGTGTTGAGAGTAACCAGTAAATGTTGCAAAATTATATTGTTACTTGTTTCATATTTGTGAGCGTGCTGCAGTTTTAGCTTTTAAGATGATTGGTTCCTGATGTTAGTAGTTTATTTTTATGTTAGCTCTATGAACATAATGTTATAGATTTCAGATATTCAACTTCACTTAAGTTTAACCATCTAAATTTATAATTTCTCCCTTAACCAGGAAGACCAAGATACAGCAATTCGACTGGCGAATACAATGTCAAACTCTCTAAAAGGAAGACCTGTGCAGGTACAATGTTTTCTTTTTACTGAAAGGAATGATGAATAGTACTAGAGTCTAGAAAGATTGATTAATGTCAATGCGGTGTTCTCGCAGGGTCGTATATACGAAGGTAAAGAGCCTCCACAATTCGTTGCCCTTTTTCAACCTATGGTGATCCTAAAGGTATTTATTTGTATGCTGTTTACAAGATGAGGGTGAAGTTGATTTTAGTCGCAAGAGAAAATACAGTGATTTATATGGTTTACATGGACTGTTTAGGGTGGTTTGAGCTCTGGGTACAGCATAAGTGTGGGAGAGACAGGGCCGACAGATGAAACTTACACGCCAGAATCAATTGCACTTATTCAAGTATCTGGAACTGGAGTTCACAATAATAAGGCTGTGCAAGTTGAATCGGTACTTGACTACCTTAGCTTCTTTCTATATACGTAATAACTTTTAGTTTTCTTATCTTTGAATTGCAATTTAAATGAGGGTGTGTACTTATTATTCAGCTTTGTATAAGAGATGAAATAGGCGAGACATAATATTCTTTGATTTGTTATATTGACTCGTAATTATGTTGCAATACTTCCATCAGGTGGCAACATCTTTAAACTCTTATGAGTGCTTCCTTCTGCAATCTGGTACGTCCATGTTCCTTTGGCATGGAAATCAAAGTGCGCATGAACAGCTAGAAGTGGCTGCTAAAGTTGCTGAATTCTTGAAGGTTAGTTTCCAATCTTATTGTGTTGTTTTCAGTTTAGCTTAAATATTTCCAAATAGGTACTTCACAGTTTTACATGGAAGTCATAAAAAAAGTTTTCTTTTTTTTAATCTATTAATCATCTTCTCTTTTTGCTAAGTCAGCCTGGGATTACTCTGAAGCATGCCAAAGAAGGAACAGAGAGCTCAACCTTTTGGTTTGCACTTGGTGGAAAACAGAATTTCACCAGTAAGAAGGCTTCCTCCGAGACTATCAGGGATCCTCACTTATTTTCATTTTCTTATAACAGAGGTGAATATTTTATACGATAATAAATGTGGTTTTTTTACTCAGATTTTCGCATTTATTTAAGAAGCTGAACATTTCCTGTATTCTAACTGTATCATTCTCCTTTTTAAATGTGTCTGCCGGGATCCCCGCAGGAAAGTTTCAGGTGAGATATTGGCGAAATTATACAACTTTCTGTACTCGATATGCTGTTTTTCATATTATTAATAGTATGCTCTGCAACAGGTTGAAGAGATTTACAACTTCGCTCAAGATGACCTCTTGACTGAGGATGTATATTTACTAGACACCCATGCTGAAGTTTTTGTCTGGGTTGGTCACTGTGTGGATCCCAAGGAAAAGCAAACTGTATTTGAGATTGGCCAAGTAACTATCTCCTAATCATCTTTGCTTCTCGTTTTGCTTCTCTCTCCGTTTTTGTACTTCTTGCTCATTGAGATAGTTTATGGGCAGAAATACATAGATCTTGCTGGATCCTTAGAAGGTTTGTCTCCTAAAGTTCCACTCTACAGAATCAATGAAGGGAACGAACCATGCTTCTTCACCACTTACTTTTCTTGGGATTCCACTAAAGCTATCGTAAGTTTTCTTGTTGTTTAGTTTCTCTTTTTCTTCTTTGAAGTGGCTGGCATGAAAATGTGTCTGCTTTCTGTGAAGTACTATTTATGGACTTAGTGTTGAAGAGGGATTTAGATAACATAACTAGATAACTCTGATCGTACCTCATGGATTTTCGTTACTGTTTCTCTTTTTCTCTCCTTCAAATTACTTTTTCTTCAATGTTAAAAACCTATCATATAGGTACAAGGAAACTCATTCCAGAAAAAGGCAGCGTTCTTATTTGGCACTCACCACGTTGTGGAGGTACTACACATTTGCGTATTTAGTTTGGCTAAGACACTCTTATTACTTTCCGGTTACTTGGGTTCATGAGATTTTCCTTCTTCTTCTGCAGGATAAGTCTAACGGTGGGAACCAAGGACCAAGGCAAAGGGCCGAAGCATTAGCTGCCTTAAATTCTGCTTTTAATTCTTCTAGTAACAGGCCTACCTATTCGGTAAATAACTACTAACCTAATTCACTGTTTCTACTATATTCTTTATGTGATATAACTTGAGATGTAAGCATATCTTGAGAATTTTGATCAAGAATAATGCTTTTGATTTTAGTTTTCCTTAAAGTTTCCCAGTAAAGGATATTTTAATGACCCTACTTGTACAAACCAATCTATGGCCAGTTAGCTGTTAAATCATCTATATTGTTGGAAGCTGAACACATTTTCAGCCTTTTAGTTCAGAGTCCCATCCTAAATCCAAGTAAACTTAGAGAGTATAATTCTTTACATGATTCTCAGTCTAGAACAGTCTGCTTGAATACATCAGTGGGATTCATCTTCCTTTGTTTTAGCCAAACCTAACCCATTACTTTTGTATGTTTAGCAAGTCGCATCTGATTCTTTGATTAGTAAACTTAGACAGTCTTCCATTTTAACTGCAGAGTCAGGACAGATCAAGCGAAAGTCATGACGGCCCAAGACAGAGAGCTGAAGCTTTAGCCGCCTTGTCATCCGCATTCAATTCTTCTTCATCATCAACTAAATCGCCTCCACCACCAAGGCCAGCGGGGACAAGTCAGGGTTCACAGAGAGCAGCAGCAGTGGCTGCTCTCTCTCAAGTACTTGTTGCGGAAAATAAGAAATCACCTGATACCTCTCCAACAAGAAGATCCACCAGCTCCAACCCAGCAGATGACACCCCTCTGGGTAAGTTTTTCTTCTTAATTCCACGTTATAAACTTCAATAACACAATTGACTAAAACTATCTTCATCTACAGAGGAAGCAAAAGATGAAGCAGAGGCTTCGGAAGCAGCTGGTGATGAAGCCAAGGAAGAAGAGGAAGTTTCACCTGCACCTGATGAACCAGAAGCAAAGCAGGAAACAGAAGAGCAAGACGATTCTGAAATGGAAACAAGTGGAGCAACTTTCAGCTATGAACAACTGAGAGCTAAATCCGAGAACCCAGTGACTGGAATCGATTTCAAACGTAGAGAGGTGAGTAGTCAGTTAGTTAGCTACTAGGAGATGAATCTCTCTGTCTATTATTACCCAACTAAACTTGTGGTTTGTCATTTCTGTGATCAATTTACTACAAGGCTTATCTATCTGAGGAAGAGTTCCAAAGTGTGTTTGGGATGGAGAAAGAAGCATTCAACAACCTACCACGTTGGAAGCAAGATCTGCTTAAGAAGAAGTTCGACTTGTTCTAGGGATCAATGGTGTGTTATGGGGGATCAGCCAGTTTGTTGTTGGTTTGAAGAGTTGTGTTTTTCTTGTTTCTCTTCTTCAGTTTTAATAACTTGGCTCATTAATATTTCTCTCATGAGTTGGTTTGGGTTTGATTCTTTATATTTTACTTACAGCACAATGAAGTGTCTTTGTAGTGATTGATGATCATTGATTGTTTTACCCGACGCAGAGATTTGTGATTGTGAGTAACAAATATTATTTGATTTGGATTCTTCCATTGTTGTGACTATTTAAGAACATGTCTTGTTGTACAATCAGGTGCTTCATTGTTTTATGCATGCTCATATGAATCATGAGAGGTTTGGTTATTGTTTGTGTCTAATATACAGAACACTATTTCCCATAATTATTCATTGTTTATCAAAGTTCAAACATGAAATACACTATCTCCATAGATCTCAACCATGATGATTAGCCATGATGATAATTTAATAATGCTCATCATGATCTCCATTTACATAATGTATCCAAAATATCAGTAGCAGAGGACGAGTCCGACCCGACGAGCCGGTCAAGCATATCCTCACTCCACAAACTTGTCGGTTGTATCTTACTGCGACCCTTAGATTTGTGTCCCGACTTGATAGCCGGCGACACGTGGCAATTACTGTACTTGGACCGTTCACTTTCTCCGACGGTCTTTGATGGCACTTTGGTAAATACTCCCTTACTAGCCGGTGGCGAATCGAGCCGCCTGTTGGTGGGTCGCAGATTAAAACCACATTGATGAATCATACCCGTCCTTACGACGCCTTGATGACGACGACCTTCACTACTCTTCATGTTTGCTTATTTTGATATTGAGGCTTTGATGAATCGTCCAAGTTTACAAATGTCTTGTATTTATATTTATGTTTTGAGGGAGCTTACCAAGAAAATGCGACTAAAGTCAAACAGGCTTGTCGACCAAGATAATTAATATTGATATTCTTTGCCTGCCTTTTGTATGTTTTCAAAAGAAATGGGCCTGAAAATATCGGATATGGGCTTTAAGGTCCGTAGCCGTGTGAGTAAGTGTTATCCCCTTCTATCTATCCACCGAAGAGCTCTCTCAACCTTGGACGTTTGCTTTAATGGCTACCGTTACCAGTTTGAAGCTCGTCACTCCGCCGGAATCTTCCCGCGCCGATAAGCCAGGAGCTACAAAGGCCTCTGAAGCATTCCAGGAGAAGAAATCCGTCTCTGTGAACTACGACCGAGGGGAGCATGAGGTCTCTGTCCGCGTCGGCGGGCTCAGGAAAGCTGACATACCGAGACGTTACCGACTTCGGGTTGAGAACGACCGGTTTCAGAAGGATTGGAGTGTATCCGAGGTTGTGGACCGGCTTATGGCTCTCAATCGTTGGGAAGAAGTTGATGGCGTTCTCAATTCCTGGGTCGGCCGGTTTGCTAGGAAGAATTTCCCGGTTCTTATCAGGGTATGTATGTCTCGATTCTGTTTGCTGTACCACTGATTCTATTTTGAAATTGAGCTTAGTGGAGAGTTTGAAGTTTCTAACTTTTGCAGGAGCTTAGTAGAAGAGGGTGTATCGAGCTTTGTGTTAATGTTTTCAAGTGGATGAAGATTCAGAAGAACTACTCTGCAAGGAATGATATATACAATATGATGATTAGGCTTCATGCTAGACATAATTGGGTTGACCAGGCTCGTGGTCTCTTCTTTGAAATGCAGAAATGGAGGTATGTTTTTCAAGTTTTTTTAATCTGAAAATGTTCTACGGAACATAGCTTTTTTTCTTTTTTGGACTTTGATTTATTGGGAACGCTTTGCTATGAATGTAGCTGCAAACCGGATGCTCAGACGTATGATGCTCTTATCAATGCCCATGGTCGAGCTGGTCAGTGGCGCTGGGCTATGAATCTTATGGATGACATGTTACGAGCAGCTGTGTGTAACTTTGCTTTGCTCCTCTAAATGGTTTTGGTTCAGTTGTGTCTGAAGTGAGGCTCCTTCTAAATGGTTTTGGTTCAGTTGTGTCTGAAGTGAGGCTCCTTCTTTCCTGTTTCCAGTGTTGAAAAAGTTGGATCATTAGATAACTGCTCTAGGAACTTTGGTTTTGTCTATATTGCGTCTTCATCTTGCAAGTAATATTGATCAATCTATTTAATTTTTTTTGTCTGTTTTCCTTTTGGTGATGCCAAACAATTAAGAATACGCTCTTCAACCTCTGATTCTTATTTTTCCTCACAGTTTTACAATGGCATTGTCAGTGTTGCTTAAATACGGTTTTGATCCTTTTCTGGTTTTGCAGATTGCTCCTAGTCGTTCAACCTACAATAATCTGATCAACGCTTGTGGTTCTAGTGGAAACTGGAGAGAGGCTCTGGAAGTATGCAAGAAAATGACAGATAACGGCGTTGGACCAGATTTGGTCACTCACAACATTGTGTTGTCAGCATACAAGAGTGGTCGTCAGTATTCAAAGGCGCTGTCCTATTTTGAGCTTATGAAGGGAGCTAAAGTTCGCCCAGATACCACCACGTTTAATATCATTATATATTGCCTGTCAAAGCTTGGTCAAAGTAGCCAAGCCCTTGATGTATTCAGTTCCATGAGGGAAAAGAGATCTGTATGCCGACCTGATGTTGTGACATTTACGAGCATTATGCATTTATACTCGGTCAGGGGGGAGATAGAAAACTGCAGAGCCGTGTTTGAAGCAATGCTTGCAGAAGGTTTGAAACCTAATATTGTTTCCTATAATGCCTTAATGGGTGCCTATGCTGTTCATGGAATGAGTGAAAATGCTCTCTCGGTTTTTGGAGAAATTAAGCGGAATGGTATTATCCCAGATGTGGTCTCTTATACAAGCTTGCTCAATTCTTATGGAAGATCACGTCAACCTGGAAAGGCAAAGGAGGTATTCCTCATGATGAGGAAGGAAAGGAGAAAGCCTAATGTTGTTACTTACAATGCATTAATTGATGCTTATGGGTCTAATGGATTTCTAGCTGAAGCTGTGCAAATCTTCCAGCAGATGGAACAAGACGGCGTTAAGCCAAATGTTGTTTCGGTGTGCACTCTTTTGGCTGCTTGTAGTAGGTCTAAGAAAAAGGTGAATGTTGAAACTGTCCTTTCTGCAGCACAGTCGAGAGGTATCAATCTCAATACGGCAGCTTATAACTCAGCCATTGGAAGCTACATAAATGCTGCAGAACTTGAGAAGGCCATTGCATTGTATCAGACTATGAGAAAGAAGAAAGTCAAAGCTGATTCTGTTACTTTCACTATCCTTATCAGTGGTTCATGTAGGATGTCAAAATACCCTGAAGCAATTAATTACTTGACGGAGATGAAAGATCTCAGTATTCCATTGACTAAGGAGGTGTACTCTTCTGTTCTATGTGCTTACAGTAAACAGGCAAGTGCTTACTTAGAGTTTGAGCTCAGAAGAAGACATATGTATCTGATAGAATTCTGAATTTTCATATGGTTTGACTATTACTTTTGATGTGATATTTTCCAGGGTCAAGTTACAGAAGCAGAATCCATGTTTAATGAGATGAAAATGGCTGGGTGCGAACCTGATGTGATTGCATACACTTCAATGCTCCATGCTTACAATGCTTCAGGTATATACCATGAGTGCAAAGTTGTTGAAATACCGTAACAAAATGTTTTCCATGGATGTGAATTCGTTCGGATGGTTTTGTGTCTCCAGAAAAGTGGGGAAATGCTTGTGAACTATTTCTGGAAATGGAAGCAAATGGAATAGAACCAGACTCTATCGCATGCTCAGCTTTGATGAGAGCTTTCAATAAGGGAGGTCAACCTTCAAATGTCTTTGTCCTGATGGATTTAATGCAGGAAAAAGAAGTTCCCTTCACTGGCGCAGTTTTCTTTGAGATCTTTTCGGCTTGTAACACGTAAGTTGTTGTATGTTTATATAAACAGTACAGTAACATTCTCGGAAGACAGAAAGAGCAATATATGATCCTTCTTCTTTCAACAATGCAGCTTGCAGGAATGGAAAAGAGCAATAGACCTCATCCAAATGATGGATCCGTACCTGCCGTCGCTTTCAATCGGGCTAACAAATCAGATGCTGCATCTTTTCGGGAAGAGTGGTAAAGTCGAAGCAATGATGAAGGTGCGACGAACTTTTAGTTTATCTGCTAATTAGACTTACACATTTTCTTTCCTTTCTGCCAAGTTGTTTACAGAAACGAAACAAGAATTTTAACCAAACCATGTTTTATACCCAGCTGTTCTATAAGATTATAGCCTCTGGTGTTGAAATCAATCTCAAGACTTATGCAATACTGTTGGAACATGTTTTAGCTGTTGGAAACTGGAGGAAATACATCGAGGTATTACTTTTTTGTTTGTCTCCTGCAAAATTATTTTCTATAGCGAGCGAGTTCTTGCGGTCCAGAGATAAAAGTTGGCCTGGCGTGAATGTTTTGCAGGTTTTAGAATGGATGAGTGATGCTGGTATTCAACCCTCCAACCAAATGTATCGTGACATTATCTCCTTTGGTGAAAGAAGTGCAGGGACAGAGTTCGAACCTCTAATACGCCATAAATTGGGTGAGATGAGAGGGGAACCCAAAAAAATATATTCTGACACATGATTTTCGATTCAACAAAAAAAAAAGTTTTGGTGTCTCACATTTCATATGTATATTTTTTTTTGGTTGGTTATGTCCATAGAATCACTGAGAAACAAAGGAGAAGATCTGAGTCGACTTCATAGACACGAAGTCACATTGTTGTAGTTTCCACTGTATGTATTTTTGGGCCATTGGTAATATAGTATATGACGTTTGTAACTTGAACTGTCCTCTACCAAGTACCAATAATATGATACTTCGATTGTTTGGCTAGAGTTACATAATGATCTGCAATAGGATCAGTGTGCATATAAAACTGATGCTGTAAGTCTATAACGAACAAGACATTTCAATTCAACCAATCATTTCAAAAAATTTGAAAAATGATTTTTAAATGGAATGATTCGATGTGTAAGTGATTACAACGGTAGCAATATGAAGAATCAAATGGTCAGAGAAAAAGGAAAAAAAAAATTCCGAATGTTAAATATTCAGAAAACTCTATATAAGCAAAGTTTGATAAACAGAAAAAAACCAACAATGTGAGTGTACCATTCAAAGAATATTCCTTGGAACGAAGCGAGAGTTGGGAAACACTCCACATTAAAATGTCAGGAACCCAGAAAACAGATCACGTACACGTGGACATAGTTAGTACACGTCAGCTTAAAAACCTATTTCAGGTAAATGACCCAAACACCCTCGTCCCCGTTCATAGCCGTTGCAGTTGTTATCTTTCGCATCGTTAAAAAAGGGTAAACAAAATCGGGACGTAATGGTAAATTTAAGTCCGTAATTTTATTTTGCCGTTGTTTTAGATTAGAAAAGAAGAGAAAAGACTCAAATATCAAAATCATTGTATTCGGTGAAAAAGGAAGAGTCAAAGTTGAAATTGAGCATTTCTCTCTCTCTCTCTCTCTGCTTCTACTGTAACAAGCTCCGTTTTGCTTAGCCATAGTGCGTCTAGGGTTTGGTTGGGGAGAAGGTTCTTCGATCATGGCGTCGGTGTCGTCGTCGGATCACGGACCTAAGACAGAGGCTGGATGTAGCGGAGGAGGAGGAGGAGGAGAGAGCTCGGAGACAGTGGCGGCGAGTGATCAGATGTTGTTGTATAGAGGATTTAAGAAGGCGAAGAAGGAGAGAGGTTGCACAGCTAAGGAGCGCATTAGTAAAATGCCGCCGTGTACCGCTGGTAAAAGGAGTTCTATATACCGCGGAGTCACCAGGTACTGTGAAATTTTTGCTATATCTAATTACCTTCAATTGGGGATTGTCGGTGATGCTCAGGAGAGCTTGATTGTGAACTGCGAGTTGTGTAATCTGTAATCACAGTATGGAATGTTTAGATTAGGTGGGTATGCATATGCCCTTTGGTTAGAGATCTTGTGTAGAGAGAGCTGAGTTATCTTGAATCGGTTAGTTGTTCTGAAAAACACTTACTTTATTCTCTAGCGGAAGTAGAATTGTTTCTAGACAATGCCAGTTTTTTACAGTGTTTGGTAATAAAGTTTACTAGCTTAAATCAGAAGAAATGAGAGTAGGTGTTCTTAGCATCCACCTGCGGTTTTATCCCATAGCAATAGGAGATGTTGATGCGTTTTGTTTGTTATATTTTTTGAGTACAGACATAGATGGACAGGTCGTTATGAAGCTCACCTTTGGGATAAGAGCACCTGGAACCAAAACCAGAACAAGAAGGGAAAACAAGGTTTCTCTTTCGTTTTTTCTCCGCATCCGATAAAGTTACTTTCGTCATTTGCTATGAGTTTTTTCTTGTTCGGAGCATCAAAACTGATCTTTTCAGTTTCCTTTATCTTTTCATGGTTGACGCAAATTCCGCCGTACCAGTTTATCTAGGTAAGCTCCTTATAGGTGTTGATTATGTTTTTGCATATCAGATTTGATTATCTTTGACTCAAGAACCCAACTCTTACTTGACAGGAGCATATGATGATGAAGAGGCTGCTGCTAGAGCTTACGACCTTGCTGCCTTAAAATACTGGGGCCCTGGGACACTTATAAATTTTCCGGTGAGATTGCTATGGTAGTATGCTATATAAGTTGAGGTTTATAGTCTTCAACCATATGACTGCCTTAATCATTGTCATGATCAATTTGTATGCATAAGTGGAAGAAGGATGGTTACAGGTTTTCGGGGTCACCCTTCTCAATTTTCATTGTTTTTAGCTACATGCATTTATGTATTTCATTCTCGTAGGTGACAGACTATACCAGGGATTTAGAAGAAATGCAAAATCTTTCAAGGGAAGAATACCTTGCATCTCTACGTAGGTGCGTATGTATTTAAAAGTAATAGAATTTTCTTCAAAAAACCATTTTTTGCTGATACTCTTTAGATATCCCTTTGGCAGAAAAAGCAGCGGTTTCTCGAGGGGAATCGCAAAATATCGTGGACTTCAAAGGTAAAATTGGACCAACAATTGGTTTAAGTTCCTATTTCTTTGTTTCGTCCAAAAGAATATGGTATTAAGAGTGATTATGCTTGTGTGATTGTCTATAAGAAAATTCTTTAGTGACATATTGTGGATCATCACAGTTTGATTAATTAACTCATGGTGGACTATCGCTAGTTGATTTCATATAAAAAGTCTATATGTTACTCTTAGGTATATGGATATGGCAAAGCTATCTTCACTGTGTTGCCTGTGGCTCTCTTTCGGTTTTCTTTTTAACCTTTCTTTGTCACAATTAACATTCATACCTGATACGCATTTCTGCTGTCTTTCCAATTAAATGCAATTCCTGACCAGCCGATGGGACGCATCAACCAGTCGTATGCCTGGACCTGAATACTTCAGTAACATTCATTACGGTATGTTACTAACAGCATTGACGTAATTGACACAAATGTGTGCTTGCATTAGACCATGTAAAACTCATTATTATTACTTATAACAGGGGCAGGGGATGATCGAGGAACAGAAGGTGACTTTCTAGGTAGCTTTTGTCTGGAAAGAAAGATTGATCTAACAGGATACATAAAGTGGTGGGGAGTCAACAAAACCCGTCAACCAGAATCTTCATCAAAAGCATCAGAGGATGCAAAAGTCGAAGATGCTGGTACTGAGCTTAAAATACTGGAACACACATCCCAGGCCACAGAACCATACAAGGCGCCAAACCTTGGGGTCCTTCGTGGCACTCAGAGAAAAGAAAAGGAAATATCATCACCATCAAGCTCTTCTGCTTTAAGCATCTTGTCTCAGTCACCTGCCTACAAGAGCCTAGAGGAGAAAGTGCTGAAAATGCAAGAAAAGAACACTAATGAAAACGATGAGAATGCAAATCATAACATCATCAGTATGGAGAAGAATCACGGCAAGGCAATTGAGAAACCAGTTGTGAGTCATGAAATTGCTTTAGGCGGTGCCTCTGCTGCTTTGTCTCTTCAGAAAAGCATGTACCCACTTACCTCTCTGTTAACTGCTCCATTGCTCACCAACTACAGTACAATGGATCCTCTTGCAGACCCTATTCTCTGGACACCATTTCTTCCTTCTGGATCCTCTCATACTTCAGAGGTTCGTAGCTATTTATCTATTTGTGATGGAAACCACAGACTTCAGTGGTTTATTACAGTACATCTTCCATATGTCATTATATTTTGTCTGTTTCTTCTGCAGGTGACAAAGACAGAGACCAGCTGTTCCACGTACAGCTACATCCCACAAGAGAAATGAGCCGTTCCCTTTAGACTTTATGTATGTCCAATTCTCCTTTAGTGAGATGAACTCGTCGACTTGGCATCTCGTTTTGTCTCTTTAATGGATAGAAAGTTGTGAGAAGTGTGACAATGGTCTGAAGGAGGAATGTACAGGTTTTGTTAGTGGTTGTGTTTTCTTTTGTTTTCAGTGTGGAATATAGAATCATCATGTTTTGTGTAAAACAGAAAAAGTTATCATTATAGTATAAAAGTTTGCTCTTAATACTTCTGCACAAGGTAATACTTGATTGTGACCGAACTCATCATTCATCTCTACCAATTATTACAATTATGTATCTTCACATCATCTGCACAAGACTTATCTAGCTTTGATACAACTAACTGAATCCTACTACCCAGACAGGGACTGAGTATATAACAGTTCCAATCGCAAAAGAAACTGCAATGGTGAAAGATGCATATGCATAAGCTCTCCATGGGTAGTCACTTTCTCTCATCGCGTTGAACTCAGCCATTAAGGTCGAAACTGTGCTCAGACATCCCAACAGACCAAACTGTATACTCGAAGCAACTGTGTTACATGTTCTCGTGTTCACCTGTTTCCCAAAATATATACAAAGAATATTATCTTCTGTGATCTGTTTGGTGTAAACAGAGGGAGGGAGGGAGGGTTGGAGTTTATACCGATTTTTTTAAAGTGGCCAATGCTGCCATAACGCAAGCTGCAGTTACATTTGCAATGAGGGTGCCAAATGGGACCCACCTCAAGTGTTGTCTATCTTTTCCCAGTCCACGTCCATTGAGTCGGGCTAAGAACCATCTGAGCCATACACCAGGGGCTGCAACTAAGCAACCTAACCATAGCTGAGCCTCGCTTGTTCCTTTGTCGAATTCTTTCACAAGCAGAATGGAACTCGCAGTGAATAGAGCCACAAGCAACAGAAGCATCAGGATCAGGGACACAATATGGCTTTGGAAGGTGTTAACGTTGAGGCAAGATTTCTTTTCCTCAGACGAAGCTCGTCTATGAAGAAGCCATTTAAACCCTTTGGCCGTTTCTACTCCCAGAATTATGGAGTATGACGTGAGAAACAATCCTGTAAAGTTGTTTATGCTGTAAGTAAGTATGTTTCATCCAGTTTAGGAGGTGACTGGAGATTTTTGAGAAGGGAATTTTTTGTTTTTACCTAAAAGAAAGCCAAGCACGGCATATACCCATTGACCATCAGCACTAAGATCCAGCATTTTCTGGTTCCAACCGCTGAATGTTGTCAGGCTACCCAAATAACCAGTCGATAAACCTATCGCCACAAATTCAGAAACTCTTGCTATATCTGCTTTGAATACGACGCCAAACCAACCCATCAAGAATGATCCCACCTGTAAGATATCATCTAAAGAATTTATCTTAAGAAAGATGGGTTTATAACTTAAGTTGAGATGAGTGTGTTGCGTCTTTTACGATGTTTGAGGGAAGATCAAGGTACAAGATGCTCCCATCACTTGTTACTTGGGCACCAGTTGGTCCAAACAACTTCTGTAGCAAATATCTCGTAATGGCCTATTTATTGCAGACAACGAGGTGATTACAATGGTTAAAACCAAAACAAAGCACAGCAGAGAGCCAGAAAGAAACATGGAAAATAAGCATATCCCAAGAGTAAAGCCTCTGGAAGTTACCCCCAAAATCCCAAAAACAGCCAAATGAACTAGGCATGATATGTATTCCAAGGACTTTGGTAACATGCGCTCTTCCTCCTTTTCCTGTACAGACCACGAGCTATCATAGATCAGAACATTGAACTAAGAAACCAATACTAACAGTTTTAATGTAGCTATACGAAATTAGAGGTTGTCCCTACCGGATTGTTTTTCTCAGGGGACAAGAGAGACTTGGTAGGTAAAGGAGATGCTGTAATGTTCTCAGGCAAAGGCTGGATTACAGAAGTTGTGTTGAAGGCTCGGAGATCATGTAATACATCTTGTTCTTGACGAGAAGTATCATGGGTCCCTTGTTCTATAAAATCATCAGCAGACAAACGGCTGCTTCGACCAGCACTGTGCCTTCTCCGAAGTGAACGATCCCCAGTATCCCCAGCCTCTGAGACACTTTCACTATCGACGTCATTGTCAATCAGGAGAGGCAAACTACGTGATAAGCTTAAAGAAGAGCTCACACTGCCCTCCCGACTAAACGACTTTGTTCGATATGGTTCTATGAGGCTTTGACCCGTATCCATAGGATTTGTAGCCAAAAAACACAGGACTTGTTAGAAGGTGCTGAATTGCTGGTGTGAAAAAGTTGTTGCTCCACCTGCACATAGTTTAAAGCCATAGAAACAGACGCCAAAGAAAAGACATGAGGAAAGTTCAAAAAGAGACAACGAGACATAATCAAACAATGTGACCAGTAAACATTAGATGAAGGTAATATGTATACTGAAAAGAGTGAAAGAAAAAAACATTCTTTTTCAATCGCAGAGAAGCGTCACATATTCATGAATCATGATAGATAGTAGTGACTTTAGTTTATTAGTTTCTACAGTAAGGGGAATACGAGTTTCCACAAGAAGGGATCCAGAAACAGTTCTCAAGATTTGTCCTCCACTATCCCTAAAAAAAATCAGATGATAAAAACAAATTTACTTAGCTTTTTAGAGTAAACAAATTGGAAAAGTGGAAAAATCCAGGAAAAAGAAATTGATTAGTAAAATAATAAACACTTGTAGCCTACCACAACCAATAGAGAAAGCGAAAACCTTAGAAAGTTGTATAAAGACGAGTACTTTTTGCTGGATTTGGGACCTGTTGTATTTTGGTGAGTGAGAGATATAGACGAGGTTTGGTTTTTGTGCTTGAATGAGTGCAATTTTTTTTAAAAAAAAATCAGCAGCATTACCTTACCTATTGGCGAATCAAATTTGAACGGAAAAAGTCGCCGGGGAGAAATCGAGCTGACAACAATCAGATTCCAACTGTTTGATTGAGAATTAGAGGTAAGTTATATTCGATTGTAGAAGATGGATGGTGGAAGGACGGACGACGAAGCAGAAGTAGGATTGAAACTTGAATAAGGTTTTTTAATTATTGTTTCCAATCTTTATCGGAGGTCTCATCTGAAACACATGTACAGACTGTACTTGGTTTAAACGGGAGAATTGCAATAACAAAAAATATAACCAAAAAAAAAACAAAAACAATCAAACATATTTTTATTTTAAAAGTATGATTCTGGGCCACAAAGGGCCGCCGGTCCAGTAGCCTAGCCCCACTTCTCATATCTAACAGATTTACTTTAACATATATTTTGAAGTGTTAACAGTATAGTGAGAATTTTAAAATAAGATACAAAAGCTTAATAATGGTGTTAAAAAAATAAAAATGGAGTTGATAGGATAATATGATGTCATATTTTTTTGTTAGAGGTGATTAAAGAATTATTGATATAAATCAGTGGACTGAGTCCAAACATCAACAACCAAATGCGCAATTATAATGCACTAACATTAACATGTGGAGAAGATTAGTAAAATAAAACGATCAAGTTTGAAAGAATATTCTAATAATGGCGGCTCTTCTTATTCGCAATCTTTCAGAAATACTTTTAAAAAATAAGAAAAAAAAAACCTCTGAAAATGATGAGATCATTTAGCCGTCAATCTTTAAGCGACGTCGTCGTTATTCTGGTAATGTAATTGGCGTAGCAGAGTCAAGCCAACGCAACTCTAAACGAATGAGGATGCTCCACTCCATGGGGGAGCCCATGAAAGCTACCCCCTACTTGGCATTGACGCAAAGGTTCCTTTGTTTTTAGGGATATATCAACATCAACGACTGTGCACGTTAAGACATTATTTAATCTAATCTCTCATCTCTCCACTATTATTTTGTATTGTTATGTAATGATAATCTCTTTTTTGTTTGTTTTGGTTGATAATCTGAAAAAGAGTCTTCAAAGTAAAATATAACCAAGTTTCGTAAAAATTTTGTTTGGTTTGGGTCGACCACTTGTATTATTTTAAAGAGTTCATAAAATTGGGAAAAGAAAAAGAAGAAGAAAGGAAGCACAAATGTCAGTGAGGTGAGCCCAAGTCCTCGCCACCTCTCTCTCTTCTTCTTCTTCTTTTCGTGTTTGCTTTCCCAAGCATGTTATTGTATGGTGGTTTCTTCTTCAAGCCGATATTTCCCCTTTCTTTTCGATTAGATTAGAGAGTCTCTCTCAAGGATTCTGGGTTCTCAGCTGATTTACCAAGGAAAAAATTGGCAAACTCCGAACGAAATGGGTACTTGGAGGAGGCAATTGAAGGCCATGCTCCGTAAGAATTGGCTCCTCAAAACTCGTCATCCCTTCGTTACTTCAGCTGAGGTCTCTCTCTCTCTTCGCTCTCTTGTTACTTCTTCCAGAAACTGTTTATTTTACTATTCGTCGTCTGAGCTTTCTTCTGGGTCTTGTTTGTTTGCTCTCATTTTGGTGGTGCTCAATTGAATTTCTTATGTCTGTTTCTGAAATTTTTGTTTTTGAAATGATTTCGAATTGGCTAATGTTGATCACCTGCGTATATTTTTCTTTTTTTTTTTTTTGGGGGGGCAGATTTTGCTTCCGACAGTTGTAATGTTGTTGTTGATAGGCGTGAGGACTCGGGTTGACACCAGAATTCACCCCGCTCGCTCGTAAGATTACAGTTTTCTTTTTTTTTACATTCTCACTAGTCTCTCTTTGTTACTATAATTGGATTTTGATTTCGTGCAGCAACTTAGAGAAAGATAAGGTCGTCCAAGTGGGCAACGGCATCTCTCCTAGTTTCCCTCAAGTTTTGAAGCTTTTGCTTGCTGAGGGGGAGTATTTAGCTTTTGCACCTGACACTGATGAAACAAAGAACATGATCGACATTTTGTCTCTGAAGTTCCCCCAGCTGCGGGTATCATCACTTCTTCATCTTATACTGCATAGAAATCTTCTACGTCGATATTACTCTTTCTTTTGGCATTTAATTTCCTCTTTTACAGAGGGTTTAGTTATTAGTGACATTTTGGCTCAGTTTACTATTCATATGTCAATCCACCTTGCCTCTTCTGTTTCTGCAGCTAGTTACTAAAATTTTTAAAGATGACGTAGAACTGGAAACTTATATCACCTCTATGCATTACGGTGTCTGCAGCGATGTGAGGTATGTTTTGTTCTTGTTCGAGCTGATAGGAAGACAATTTCATCCCTGCTTTCTTGTTGCCTTCAAAAAAATTCTTTACATATGTCTGGTGATT